CCCCCCACTGCATCTACAGTTGGAGGCAGAGGCCAGGGCAGGAATCTACCATCTCCAGTGCAGTGAACAATGGAAACCCAGATCCAATGGTTTCGGCCATGCATACATAACTCACGACATGAAAAAAGAACCCATATTACAAATGGGGCCTGACAAAATGATACTGAGACATGTATATGAAGAACCCTTCAGTCAGATTTCCTGACAGGAGTGAATGGGAAGACGGGTTTCGACCCGATAGAAATGGGGGACTGATCTGGTATACAGATGGTTCCAAGATATTATTATTATTATTATTATTGGAGGGGGTGGGTTTCCCCATGCACCACGACCAGCGGTCTATTGTACGTCCCCCTGCGATATTCTACCAGTCTCTATACCCTACCGATACTGGTGCATGCCATCAGTCCCAACTCAGCCAGCGAGTTCGGCCTCTACTGGCTCAACGGTATCTAGATGCTTCCCCCCTCTACCAAAGGCGTTAGAGACTATTGCTGGCCGGGAAATATCCTTTATAATTTGGCTCAGAGGCCTCCTTGAGGCATGAGGTTCTTTTACATGCCGTAAAGCTACGACACAGGACCCACGGCTTAAAGTCCCTCCTGCAGGACTTGTTCCCTGAATTTTTCCGCACTTAAAAATTCCACGACCTCCACCGGGTTTGAACCCGCGTACCTTGAGTCATGAGGTGGGAACGTTACCCCTAGACTATGGAGGCCACTTGGTTCCAAGATAAATAAGGGCACTGGAGCTGGTGTGTTCTGCTATGGCACGAGGCGGAAACTTAGTTTCAGCCTTGGGCAGCACACGACGGTATTCTAGGCAGAAGTATATGCCATTAAGGCATTATTATGGAGAATCTAGATAGGAACTACAGAAATAGGAACATTTATATTCTATCTGACAGCCAAGCTGCACTTGAAGCACTTGAGAAACAACAGATCAACTCAAAATTGGTCTGGGATGGCCACCAAACTCTCATGGAACTGGCCAAACATAACAGGGTACAATTGATATGGCTGCTGGGGCATGAGGGTATTGCTGGAAACGAAACAGGAGACCAATTAGCTAAGACTGATGCTGAAAATCTGTTCACAGGACCCGAACCAGCCTGTGGCATCTCTGTAGGAGTTGCTAGAAAGGCAATCAAGGACTCGACAAATATGAATCACAATAAATACTGGGGATCCTTAAGTGGACTCAGGCAAGCAAAGGGACTCATACGAGGACCATCTACTAAACAAGCGGAGGAACTGTTGAAGTTAAATAGGAACCAGCTATGATGGGTGGTAGGACTACTTACAGGACACTGTCACCTGAAAGGACACCTCTTCAAATTGGGACTAACAGTCAACTTGTGAGAGGTGTCAAGAAGAAAATGAAACAGCCACACATATCGTGTGTGAATGTGAGGCCTTAGCTTGTTTAAGATTGTGCCACTTCGGTCAATATTTTATGGAACCAAGTGACTATTTCGACGTCCCCACGTACAAAATCCTATGCTTCATTCGAAGTGCAGGATTGCTGAGGGGATAATCAGAAGGGGAGGCACAATAGATCCCTGTTGTTGCGGTGCAAGGGCTGAGAGGGCCCATCCCTTATACATTCATTCATGTTTACTGCTATATACATGTTAATCATGTGAAAAGGTAATCCTATAAAGGATCAATGGTTTGAAATTAAAACAGTACAGACACAGAACAGGATGAACCCATTTTGATTTTCTACAATTGGAGAATGAAACTGAAGCAGGAGGTACATTTGGTGAAAACAGACATAAGAAAGCACGTGTATTAGCAAATGAATTGAAAATGTCTACAACTAGAAGGTATGACGTGCTGTTTGCTTAACCACAAAAACAATGGAATTTATATATTAACTAAAGCAGTTGTTACTAAAACAAGATTAGTAGCTACTTCCAATATATTACAGAATCTGCAAAAGTATGGATTCAGCAGTTTAGGTGGCAAAAAACAGTAAGTTTCTTAACAACCCAAAGGAAGGAGTTACTTGGTGTCAGATGAGATGATAGGAAAACTGTAGAAAGTGAGGTGAAAAGAAATAAAACTTGTAACAGTCTTGGTATTTCAGGGAACTATTCCAACATTCTCCTGGAATGAGTAAGGAAAACCATAAATTTTCCAGATATCTTGTGCTGCAGCCAAAATTTGAACTGGATCTGATGTCTGTTCAGGTCCATAAGTGCTCAGCCAACTTCCTCAATGACAATGAAGTTGTATTACTTACATAGGAATACAATGATTCTTCAGAACTTAATCCTGTGATGTGTAAGAGTGACTATATAGACAGGGATATTGGGTTTTTGGGCTTTGTCCATTATCCGGATTCTGTTGGGTCCATTAGAAAGAGCTAGCCTCAATCACTGGACAACCAATGTCACAAAACACTAAGGCTATAAACACCTGAGTCCATGAGAGCTAACAAGAAAAATATACACTAAAAATTGTTCCTATCTATCCTGGTTCCACGCATGTGTGTGCTTGGAACAATTTATAGTGTTTATTTTTCTTGTTAGCTCTCATGGACTTAACCTGGTCTCAGGAGTTTATAGCCTTAGTGTTTTGTGACATGGGTTGTCCAGCAATTGAGGGACCCAACAGAGCAGGTGTCTTCCCTCACCTGAGGATGGAAACAGATCCAGTTTCCGAAATGTTGTGTTTTTTCTTAGTTATTTACAATCCGGATGACGGACAAAGTCCAAAAACCCAGTATCTTTGTGTGTTATAGACCATCATCAGAACCCTATAGTATCTACCATAGACAGGGCTTGGATTTGTGACTTGATGACCATTTAATACACTTATGACTCATGACTCATGACTACACTTCACAGAACACTGACACATACAGAATAGTGTTCTCAGTATATTACAGTCTCCACTAGACTTTTCCTGGCAACTGATTTTAACACAGGAACTATTAACAGTCTCACTGTATTACATACTCCAAATATCACACATAAAGTCTTCTCTTCACAGTCAGACTTTGAACTGAGCACTGTTACAACTAACTTGCGGCAATTTCACACCAACCTCTTAGTCTTCCCTTCACTGCCGTTCTACCAACTGACTAAAGTCAAAGTCAAAGTCAAAGTTACTTTACAACTGGCAGTTTACTGCCAATCAGTTCGTCTTGACATCAAGCCCCTTGAGAATCATGACTAGAGATACTTTTTTTTCAAACTGAACCTCTGCAGCCATAATCCTTATGTAACATCCTCTCAGACATGAAGATGGATTTGTCTCTTGTGAATATGCTTTGCCTTTTGTCAAGTGTATGTATTGCACATACAGCATGTTACTGAAAATTCTTCCTTTTGCACTATATACAAGTCTGCTATCAGTACAGGCATTACAAAGCAGATCATGCCTATCTTATGTATCTTATGATACAATGGCAGCTTAGTCACTTCAATGGTTCTAAGTTTGGCCAATGCCAAGTTTAAGCCTCTTACATTTTCTGTGTCTGGTTTCACCTTGTCCTATACTGAAAACATTTTCGTTCTCACGTTTTTGTATGACCTCTGCTTGTTGCCCTAACAATTATGTTATATATTCATATACACAGGGAAGGACGAAAGCTGTGTGTAAACTGTGGACAAGTGTGGAACTTGGAAAATTTCCCATGGTTTGGAGAACCTTGTTTTGTAGGCGTTGCAATTTTAAGAGGTAGGCGCCTGCCAATAATTCCCAGGCAGGGCAAGCATAAGTCATTGTTGATCTGATCAGTGCCTTTTGGAGAGTTAGTTTAATGTTGGCACTTAAATGCTCACTTTTGAATAAGGAGTAGATTCTAGTAAATGTTCTGAAGACCTTGGCTTCAATCATTTCTATGTGCAGTCTCCAGTAATCCTCTTATCAAAGATTATACCCAGATATTTTACATGATAGACAAAGGGGATATTCCATCCATTCAAACTAAGATGAGCCTCAGAAGGCCTAAGTTGTTGAGAAAAGTAGATGGCCTGAGTCTCATCTTCATTGATTTTGATGTTCCAGCGCTCACACGTCTCAAAAGCACTGAGACATAGCTGCAGCTTCCTGAGGACATAACCCTCTTTGCAGTCACTCCCATATATACAGGTGTTATCAGTGAAGAGACCTAGATAGACACCACCTTTGACAAAAACTCTGAATTTTCTCTGAAAAGAAAAAAGCTAACAAGCTTGATTAAAGCGATAAAAATTTATATAGCAAAGCAAGGAGCTATGTTGTATCAAAGGCTTTTTATAATATCCATGAATATAGCAGCCATAGATATGTTGTTGAAATTTAAGGTGATGTTGGTAAGCCTCATATATGGAAGTATTGTGCTGTGATGGGGACAGAAACCAAACTGGCTTGTGTTAAGCAGGCCTCTTTCTTCAATACGCCTTTGGACTATTTTCAGAATCACTTTCTCAAATAGCTTGCCTGTTGTAGATAAGATGCTAATCGCACATAAATTCTGAGGGTTTTTGGTCCTTATCGGGCTTTGGTAATGTTTTAACCTTTGCTTCCTTCCAAGGCTCTGGAAAATGGGACAGTCAAAGGCAGTGACAACTGACTAAGCTCTAAACCTCCCAGTTATTACATCTTGGCACAGACTACATGGAAAACACAGCTCTTTTTACTTTGTCTGGATTTGTTGCCCCAGAGATGTTTACCATAACATTGCATGGCTATGGCTGTGGCATGGACCACAGAAAACACCGTTCCTCTGTTGCTGTACCATTGTTGCATTCATGTCCTTTACTGTGGGAATGTGTTTACCAAGCTGTTCGCTAGAAATGGCTCTGGTTATTTGCTTATCTTGCAGTCGCTGCAAAGAAACAGCTCTACAAGCTACAATATTGATGTGTGCAAATAGTGACAAACAGTTTCAGAACTTTGTTACTTTTGTGAGTTATTTTATGGCACTTTCAGCATTTAGACTATATAGCATCAAATATGTGTGTGTGTGTGTGTGAGCATTTGCACACTTATATGTATTTAACCTACATCCTTTCTGAGGAATCCTTTGTTCTTGGTAAGTAAAAATCCAAGTTCTCCATATGATCTCTCAGCAATAGCTATTTGAGGCAGATGAGTGACTAGCATCCCCCAGGGACCAGACTGACCGAGTCTTGACTCACGTTCATGTTCCTGTAAGGTAATATAAATTACAGTTATTTACATGAATAAATATACTTATCCTTGACATATGCTGCTAAAAATGATACTGTGACGTATTTGTGCATGCAGGACACCCTGTCCCCAGCCAGTGGTGATGTAACAGCTTCGGAGCGCTGCCGCTGCTACAGTAACAGGCCAGTCAACACTCCGCCCCCTCCCGCAGTGACGTAACAGGGGACATCACCGATAACACAAAGCAACAGGGAATGGTATAAAAAGCCAGCTGAGCAGTATGTGACCAGAGAGTGTGAGATCAGTAGTGACACAGTGCGGATTGTGAAGTTGCCGAGTGCAGTAGATGTAATTATGATACTGCCGGTGGCAGTAGTTGTGTAACTGTGAGAGTGAGTGGAATAAATTCGCTACATCCAAGATGACGTTAAGTGATTTGTCACGTGTGACCTACCTAACACGTGTCAATTTGGTGTCAGAATTGGTTTATGAACTTAAACACGCCTTGATGAATAATCGAATTTACGAGTGCATCGACTATTAATACTGCCACAATTTTAACTGAAGACTTAAGTGTGTGCTTACAGTGTTGCCATACAAAAATGGAACAAATAATAGAAATGCTGAAAGAAATGGAGGCCAATAGGAAGAAAGACGAAGAAGAAATTAGAACCAACCAAGCTAAGACAGAGGCCAGCCATAAAGAGTTGCTGTCCAGATTGCAGGGTGACAGACAGGCCAAGCGAAGATAACTGAAGGAAATGATGAAAATGATTGACACCAGCAACAGGGAGATGGTTGCCGAAACCAAACCAGAAAGAGACATGGAGACTATGGCAGCTCTGTGCCAACAACTACGTGAGGGTAAGGCAGATATAGCACTTATTCAGGAACCTTGGATATACAAGGGTCAAATAGTGGGTTTAACCAACACAGGGGGAACAGTTTACTCTGCTGTACCCAGTAATAATGCAAGATCTTGTGTTTATATCAAGAATCATGTTAATGCCTTTCCTGGAGCTCTGTTCTAGGGATGCAACAGCGGTAAGGATAACATACCCATATAGAGGAGGCAGCAAGGAGCTGATTGTTGCTTCAGTCTACCTTCCATATGACGCAGATGAACCTCCACCAACTAAGGAGATGAGGGACATCAGAGACTACTGCTGTAGCAGGAAGAAGCAACTCATTATAGGGTGTGATGCCATGCACCACATCTTGTGGGGGGCACCGGCACTAACCCAAGGGGAGAGAGCCTTATGGAATTTCTGGTGAGTTTGAACCTCAATATTCTAAACCATGTTAATGAACCTACCTTTGTAGTTTGCAATAGGCAGGAGGTTATCAACTTGATACTAGGACCAATAAAATAGGAAACCTGATCAGTAATTGGCATGTATCTGATGAGCCGTCCCTATCGGATCACAGATATATATGCTTTCAAATAAGCAGCATTACAGTAGATCAAGCTACTTATAGGAATCCTAAGAGAACCAATTGGGAGTCTTACAAAGACGACCTAAAGGTAAATCTAGAGACCATCTCGCGAAATATACACACAATAAAGGATGCTGATCGGGCCATTGACCAGTTGCAACTAGCTATTATCTCGTCCTTTAAAAGGAATTGTCCGGCTAGGCCCACTCACGAACCAAGGAGAGTGCCTTGGTGGAATAAACAGCCGAATGGACTTAGAACCAAAACGAGAAGGCTGTTCAATACAGCTAAAAGAACAGGGCAGTGGGACACCTACAAGGAAGCCCTTATCTGTTAGAACAAAGAAATAAGAAAAGCCAACCGATCCTCATGGAGGAGGCACTGCCAGGAGATCAATGATGTACCAGGCAGTGGCAGACTCATGAGGATCATGGCAAAACAAGCAACAAACAAGGTTAGCACAATTAAGTTCCCTAACGGCCAGTATACTAAAACAGGAAAGGAGACACTGAATGAATTATTCAGGGTTCACTATCCCTATTCAAAATTGATTGATAATTTGGACGATGGACAGGGTCAGAAAAACCTGGGCACTTGCCAAAGCAAGACAAACAGGGCAGACTGGAACAAGGCCAAAGTCATAATTAACCAATCAAAAATCAGATGGGCACTGCATACTTTTAAACCATTTAAGTCAGCGGGAACAGATGGAATTGTACCGGCATTTTTGCAGCATGGGGCAGAACTTTTAGTTCCACACCTGTGCCGCATATATAGAGCCTGCATGGCATATGGTTTCATCCCCATGGCCTGGAAGCAAGTTAATGTGATGTTTATCCCAACGCCTGTGCAACTTGATTATACCGAGGTTAAGGCTTATCGCCCTATCAGCCTATTGTCTTTCTTGTTGGAAACGATGGAGAAAATAGTAGATAGGCATATCAGGGACATATCCTCTACACCGAAACCAGCATGCCAACCAAATAGGTAAATCTACCGAAAGTGCACTACACAATGTGGTAACACACATAGAAAGTGCGACTGAACACAAGGATATTGCCTTAGGAGCATTCTTTGACATAGAGGGAGCTTTCTATAGAACCTCATTTGATATAATCAGGCTGCTGGAAAGCATGGCATTTTTTTTTCTGGGACGCTACAGCCCCAATTTGAGCCTAGGCCTACCTCCATGAAACTCTCTGTTTCACTTCGGTTTACTAGATCTTACACATGCGGTAGGACTCCTTTGGCGACTGATCAGCTCGTCGCAAGGCCTCTACCTGTAGACAAACACAGAAAAACGCACACAAACATCCATGCCCTGAGTGGGATTCGAACCCACGATCCCGGCTTCCGAGCGAGTGAAGACAGTGCATGCCGTAGACCGCTTGGCTACCGTGACCGTCGGAAAGCATGGCATAGAGCCTGCAATATGCAGATGGATCAGTGCTATATTGGAAAGCAGAACCATAGCTGCTACATTATCAGGAGAAACCCTGGGGGCATCCGCATCTAGGGGTTGTCCGCAGGGGGCGTACTCTCACCTCTGCTGTGGGGTCTGGTCATCAACGATCTCCTGTAGGGACTTCATGATGAAGGGTGTTATACAGTAGGATATGATGATGACATTGCAATCCTCATAAATGGAAAATTCCTTTCGACCGTATCAGAGCGTCTTCAAACAGCTCTGTACATGGTCCAACAATGGTGTGAAAGAACAAGTCTTTCCATCAATCCTAATAAGATGGTAATTATACCGTTTACTAAGAAGAGAAATATAAAGGGCCTTACGGAACCGACTCTCTTCAATAAGACAATCCAGCTCTCGAGTGATGTCAAGTACCTTGGTCTAGAATTAGAAAAGAGACCGACATGGAAAAAGCAGCTTGAACAAGGTTTTTAACAAAGCCTATAAGGCTTTTTGGACATGCAGAAGCATGTTTGGTAAAACTTGGGGACTGCAGCCACATGTTGTTCATTGGATATATACTGCGGTTGTAAGACCTATAGTTACATATAGCGACACAGTATGGTGGACCAGAGTTAAACTCAAGACAAGCAAGACAGAACTTAGCAAATTGCAAAGGTTGGCTAGCTTAGGTATCACAGGAGCAATTCAAACATCTCTAACAGCTGCACTGGAGATACTCCTTGGACTCCCTCCACTGCATCTACAGTTGGAGGCAGAGGCCAGGGCAGGAATCTACCGTCTCCAGTGCAGTGAACAATGGAAACCCAGGTCCAATGGTTTCGGACATGCATACATAACTCATGACATGAAAAAAGAACCCATATTACAAACGGGGTCTGACAAAATGATACTGAGACATGTACATGAAAAACCCTTCACAGTCATAATTTCCTGACAGGAGTGAATGGGAAGACGGGTTTCGACCCAATAGAAAAGGGGGACTGATCTGGTATACAGAGGGTTCCAAGATAAATAAGGGCACTGGAGCTGGTGTTTACTGCTATGGCATGAAGCGGAAACTTAGTTTCAGCCTTGGGCAGTACATGACAGTATTCCAGGCAGAAGTATGTGCTATTAAAGCACGTATTATAGAGAATTTAGATAGGAACATCTACATTCTATCTGACAGCCAAGCTGCACTTAAAGTGCTTGACAAACACCAGATTAATTCAAAATTGGTCTGGGATTGCCACCAAACCCTCATGGAACTGGCCAAACATAACAGGGCACAACTGATATGGGTGCCGGGGCATGAGGGTATTGCTGGAAATGAAGCAGGAGACCAATTAGCTAAAATTGGAGCTGAACACCCGTTCATAGGACCTGAACCAGCCTGTGGCATCTCTATAGGAGTTGCCAGGCAGGCAATCAGAGACTGGACAAACATGCAACACAAGAAATACTGGGGATCCTTAACTGGACTCAGGCAATCAAAGGGACTCATACGAGGACCTTTACTAAGAGGGCGAAAAGACTGTTAAAGTTAAACAGGAACCAGCTATGATGGGTGGTAGGACTACTTACAGGACACCGTCACCTCAAAGGACACATGTTCAAACTGGGACTAAGTGATAGTCCCACTTGTGAGAGGTGTCAAGAAGAAAACGAAACAGCCACATATATAGTGTGTGAATGTGAGGCCTTAGCTTGTTTAAGACTGTGCCACTTCGGTCAATATTTTATGGAAGCAAGTGACTATTTCGATGCTCCCATGTACAAAATCCTGCACTTCATTTGAAGCACAGGACTGCTGAGGGGATAATCAATAAAGGGGAAGCACAACAGACCACTATAGGTCGCAGTGCAAGGGCCGAAAAAAGGCCTACCCCTAATTCATTCAGTCATTCATTCATGGCCTGCCGAGAAACGATGGAGGTGCATATAGAAGAAGATGGGACAATGGCCTGCCAATAAATGGAGGCATGTCTAGAAGAAGAGCCGACCTCAGTGAACATGAAACCTGAGGCGGCAGAACAACGAGTGGTCCCCATAGAAGACACCGAAGTAATGCCTGTCAGAGAACCGGAGAGGAAACGGCGTAGGGACAGAAACCAGCGAAAAAAGAATGAACAGACCCAGTGTCAGGATGGGTGCCGAGGAAGACTGATCG